AATAATAAAAATAAGTTATGCATTTTCACCGTCTAAACCAATGCAAAACTAAAAAAATAAATATCCAATACTATTATAATTTCTAGTATTGAATGGAATTTTATTTATTAGCATTAGTATTAATTTGATTTTATTTTGGGTTTTATTTGAGTTACTAACTTTTATGGGTTAGTAACTTTAGAGCTGTGGCTTGTGTCTGCAACTTTAGAGTTACTGGAAATATGAATCACATGCTACACCAATACTATTTTTAATTTGTATTTATTTTTGACACTTCATGCTACAATTAAGAGAAATAGATAACATCTTTAATTTGTATAAGCTTTTGTGAGTATTTCTTTTCGAACAACCTGGCTGGGTTGTGCTTTGTATCTTCTACTTGGTGATTAATAAAATACATAATTACCAAAAACAAAAGAAAAAAATATATTTGACATTCAAAACATCTAAGTCTAAGCTTGAAATAATATATTAAAAGAGAGAACTATCATAAAGTTTAAAAGATATTTATAAATTATATTACAATAATTAGTTTTATGTATAAAATATTTTTTAAAACTTATATACATGTAATGTTGTATTGGTTTGGTTTCGGTTTGACTATTTTTAGTTAAAACCAAATAAAATCAATTGTAGTCGGATTTAGTTTTCTAACACCAAACCATAGTCGAGTTTTTTTTTTTCAGTTTGATTGAGATTATCGATTTGGTGCCATTTGTCGGTTTTCTTTGTACACCCCTAATGATTATTACTTATTTTATTGTGTTTATTGAAGCTTTTTGAAGAATCACTCTTAGAGAAAAAAGTCATGCATGTTCAAACAAGATAAATAATATAATTATATAAGGAATGAATTAATTGCTCTCTCTTTTCTTTGAGAAACAAGAAAACAATTCCTTTTTAATTTAAATCAAGATCAAATTAAACCCGAGCTCGTATATGCAAAAACAAGAACAAAGTTAAGTAATTGAAATAAGGCTAATTAGTTAATATTAATATTCAGTTTACCCTTTTGTGATTTAATTAGTGTAGTAATTGACCGGTATATTTGGTAATCTAGCTAAGTAGTGCGTTATATACTGTAAAATATGGCCCACGTGTGACTTATGAAATATTTTGGTTTAATAAACATATTTTGTTAAATTAGTATTTGGATAAAATCACGAAAAGTTAAGTATGGTTATAACTCCCCACTAACCCACTTTGATGAAAAGTGAGAATTAACTGATGGTCCCTCTCTCTGCATATTAAAAGAAGAAATAACGTAACTCCATCATACTCTATTCTGAAAAGAACATAGAAAAGATAAAGAGAGAGAAATATTGATTTTTCTCAAGAACAGTGACTCTAAAGAAGGCTTCCCCTTAATATTATTAAGAAAACACATCATAGATTCAAGTAAAATTTCTTGATCGAAATTATCACGACCCAAAATCCACTATAGGTCGTGATGTGCTTAACGCCACCGTCAGGCAAGCCAACAGTGATTTATCAATTTAATTACACATTTTATTACTTTCAAATCATAGATTTTAATAAGGAAAGAGACTTACACTTCTAAATCCACGTGAACGTACAATATTTTTAGTTTATAAAAGAAATGAAAGGCGATAATAATATACGAAACTGTGAGCATCAACTAGTATAACCCCAAAACCCGATGTCACAAGTGCATGAGTATTTTCTAAGGAGTACAATAATAATACATCTGTTCAGAATGTCAATAAGACAGGATAAAATAAATAATATGATGGAGACTCGGTGGACTGCAATGCGTGGCCTGGAATGCAGCTCACATGAAGTCCCCTCAACAGGTGCGCCTACGCGCCAAGATGATCACCAAAAGACCTTATCACATCCTGCACATTTAGTGCATAAGTGCAACATGAGTACGTAAATCAATGCGTACCCAGTAAGTATCTAGCCTAACCCCGGAGAAGTAATGACGAGGGGTCGGCATCGACACTTACTGGAGGTCCAATAAAGCAATATAATAAATTATAAGCAGATATGAAGCACACAGTAACAATGGGGTAAATCTATAAGTTACGTAATCTTCCAATTGTTTCTTTTCATGTACGAATTTCTCAATCTTGTATTCTACCTTAACAGCTCAGAAAAATGTCAAATGTCAAAGTCAAATGAATAAGGAATACCATATAAAATGTCGGGCATCAGTGCAAAGATAACCTCATGGATGTTCGGACTACCAGCGATATAACTCACGATTATGCCGAGGTCGTTCGGCCCGATCCAAAATAATGTGTACACTGCCGAGGGTCGAGCGACATAGACCATAGATGCATCTATTATACTGCCGAGGCATTCGGCCCGCTCCATAAGAAGGGAAGGAAGCTACCGAATTACGAGACACGTGCTTACAACACAGTACATGAGCACAAATTGAATATAATCTTTATCGTTTCTCAAATAACCAGCCAACAACGCAAGGTGATAAGGTTCGGCCTAGTATACATACATTTACCTCTAAATCAATTTCAATTGTAAGTTCAATTAAATAAGCCAACAGAACGAGTTCAAATAATTCAATTATTTCATAATAAGGTCCTAAGTCTACCTGGACATAAACATACTTTAGCTACGTATGGACTCTCGTCACCTCGTGTGTACGTAACACCCACAACTAGTATCGCATAGCAATTACATCACCTAGGGGGTAGTTTCTCCCTCTCAAGGTTAGACAGGAGACTTACCTTACTCCAAAGTTCCATAATCGGCTCCAATGCCTCTCTAACACCTCAATTCGAAGCCAAATGTCCCGAAACTAGTCAAACAACGTGTAAATCAATCAAAACATACTCCAATGTTTACAATTTAACAATTTATAATGATTTCCAACTCCGCTCGAAAAGTCAATAAAGTCAACCCTCAGGCCCACGTGCTCGGATTCCAAAAAATTTCAAAGATAAACTTTACCCATAACGCTACAAACTAAAATATATAATTTATTCCTAATTCCATTTCCAAAATCATGGTGAAAATCCAAAACTATCAATTCTAGGTCTTCCTCTTAAAATCCCAAAATTTTCCATAAATTTCCATGTAACAATCCATACATAATCCAATTATTTCACTAAAATTATGTGGGAATTACTTACCTTGCAATGGTTGATGAAAATCTCCACTCGAAGCTCTCTAAAAATTGCCCAAACAAAGAGAGAATGAAAGCAAATGGGCCAAATCCCGTATAAAAATCCAATTCTTCCCAGCGCTTCCTCGCACCTGCAGAAAATCCATCGCAGGTGCAGCTCTAGCACAAACCAACAGCCCTCGCTTCTGTGCACCAAGTAGCGCACATGCGCTTCTGCTTCTAAGGGCCTCAAGCACTTCTGCGCTCGCGCATCTGCGTTTCCATGTCCGCTTTTGCGGCCCAGGCCTTCTTGGCCAACCTCTACTTCTGTGCTCCAATGGTCGCATATGCAATCACGCAGGTGCAAAAATTCCTTCGCACATGCAGCCTCTGCCCAGCTCACTTCCAGCCGCTTCTGCGCTTCACTGCCTTGCTTCTGTGAGGTCGCTTCTGCGATGAAGCTTCCACAGAAGCGGTTGCACCAGCAACCAGAATTCTCCATCTTTTCCTTAAGTCCAAAATCCGATCTGTTAACCATCCGGAATCCACCCGAGGCCCCGGGGACATTGACCAAATATACCAACATGTCTCAAAACACATTACGAACTTAGTCGAGGCCTCGAATCATGGCAAACAACATCAAAACTACGAATCGACTAGCGAAATCCTTCTTTAAACTTTCAAACTTCGACGAATGCGTCCGAACCATATCAAAACATTCTGTAATGATGCCAAACTTTACGTGCAAGTCACAAACCATGATACGAACTTATTCCAAGGCTCGGAACCCCAAACGGATATCAATAACATCAAAATCTACTTCAAACCAAACTTATGAAATTCTAAAACTTTCAAAAAGGCCAAACTTTCTACAATAAGCGTTGAAATGCTCCCGGGCCACCCGATACTCAACTCGAACATACGTCCAGGTCCGAGATCACTATACAAACCTACTGGAACCTTCAAATCCCGATTCCGAGGTCGTTTACTCAAGAGTCAAACCTTAGTAAATTCTTCCAACTTAAAGCTTTCGAATTTAGAATTTTCTTTCTAAATCAACTCCGAACTTCTCGATATTCAATTCCAACCACACGTACAAGTCATAAACTATGAAATGAAGCTACTCAAGGCCTCAAACCTCCGAACGACATACTAGAGCTCAAAACGATCGCGGTCGGGTCGTTACATTCTCCCTCACTTAAAAATACGTTCGTCCTCGAACGTACCAAGAAGTGCTCCGGAGTTGTCCAAAATCACTGTTTAACACCTCGTGCACCTCAGGATGTACGCTATGCCTTAAACAAATACACAGGATATGATAATCTGTTACCTAAGTATCAAGAATATATTGATGCTTCTTCTACTGTTTGTGAACCTGCTACACACTTTGAATCTATTAAAGATCCTAGGTGGGTTGAAGCAATGAATGAAGAGATAAAGGCACTTGAAACTAATCATACATGACATGTTGTTAGTCTGCCACAAGGTGAAAAACAATAGGTATGTAAATGGATCTATAAACTAAAATACAAGGCATCAGAAGAGATTGAAAGATTCAAAGCTCGATTAGTAGCAAAAGGGTACAGTCAACAGGAAGAAATTGACTACCAGAAAATATCTTCACCTATTGTGAAGATGGTCACTGTAAGAACTATACTAGCAGTAGTAGCAGCAAGAAAGTGGCACATACATCAAATGTATGTATACAAAGCATTCCTTCAAGGAGATCTTCATGATTATATATATATATATATATATATATANACTTAAACAAGCACCAAGACAGTGGAATGCAAAATTGTCTGAAGCTCTACAAAAGTTCAAGTTTAAACAGAGTCAATTTGATCATTCTTTGTTCATAAGGAGGAGAAATGAAAGTATTGTTATAGTCCTAGTATATGTTGATGATATGCTAATCGCAGAAAACAGTTTGAAACTTGTGGAAGAAACAAAAGCTTCACTGCAGCAAGCCTTCAAAATGAAGGACTTGGGAGAGCTAAAATATTTTTTTGGCATTGAATTTGCCAGGTCTAAGCAAGGGATCACAATGCATCAGAGAAAGTATGCAATGGAACTCATTCCAGAAGTTGGCCTAACAGCTGCTAAACCTGCATTGATTCCCATTGATATTTCTATGAAGCTTACTTCTAAACAGTATAATGATCATCTTGGAAAGAATACAAAAATAGAAGAAAATGCTCTGACAGATCAAACAACCTATCAAAGACTTATAGGAAAGTTATTATATTTAACAGTAACAAGGCCAGACATTGCCTTTGGATTTCATACATTGAGTCAATTTCTTCAGCGACCAAAGAAATCTCATATGGAAGCAGCCTTAAGAATTGTTAGATATGTAAAAAATCAACCAGGGCAAGGCATTTTCTTATCCAGTAATTACAGCAACAACATCACTACATATTGTGATGCAAACTGGGCAGCCTGCACTCACAAGGAAATTTGTTACTGGTTTCTTAATTAAAGTAGGGGACTCTATAATATCATGAAAATCTAAGAAGCAAACTACAGTTTCTAGGAGCTCTGCAGAAGCTGAAGATAGGAGCCTTGCAACAACTGTAGCAGAATTGGCTTGGCTTATAGGTGTGCTAAAGTAAGTAGACACAGAATTTAAAGCTCCAGTTAATATTTATACAGACAGTAAGGGAGCTATACAAATAGCTGTAAATCCGGTTTATCATGAGAGAACCAAACACATAGAAATTGATTGTCATTTTGTAAGAGAAAAAAGTACAACAAGGCCTGATAATCACCAACTACATCACTACAAAAAGCAACATGTTCATATTCTCACCAAAGGTCTTAATCGAGTTAAACATGAGCATCTCAACTCCAAACTAGGTGTACTTAACATCATTACTACACCTAGCTTGAGGGGGAGTATTAAATGATACGAGGACAATAGAGTCATTTCATAAGCATTAAGTATTATTAGTTGTATAATCTGTTAGTTAGTTATAAGTAGTTATAAATAGTAGCTTTGTACATTCTAGCATATCAATCAGTTGAATAAGAAACTAAGCTCTTTCTTCTTCTATCTATCGTCTTCTCCTCCTCTCTCTAACAATCTACTTCTTCTTCTTGACCAAGAGTTCTTGAATCATAATAAATAAATATATTTTGTTAAATTAGTATTTGGATAAAATTAGGAAAAATTAATTAATTAGGGTTATAACTCCCCACTAAACCATTTTGATGGAAAGTGGGAATTAACCGATGGTCCCTCTCTCTGCCTATTAAAAGAAGAATAGTGTAACTCCATCATACTCTATTCTGAAAAGAACACAGAAAAGGTAAAGAGAGAGAAGTACTAATTTTTCTCAAGATCAGTGACTTTGAAGAAGGCTTCCACTTAATATTATCAAAAAAACATATTATGGATTCAGATAAAATTTCTTGATTGAAATTATTGTCTATTTATTTTATGTGAAAATCAAATAGTTCCACGGTTCTAAATAATTGATACGATTTTATATAGATTGTTTATGAACCACAATCTAGAACAAAAAAATCCTTACATATACAACTTCTATTCACCCAAAAATGTTAAACTCTGAATGACAGATTGCTCTGATCAGTTGAAGTGTTTCTAAGGTTACACTCCAGACCAAAATGTTATGCGAACAACTATCAGGAAAACTCTCTTGACATAGTTAAATAATTGATTATTGTTCTTGTTGCATCAAGCTAATCCAGATACACTCTTAACTTGATTTAATATTATTCGCTTTAGATCAAACTTGTACGGTTTTTTCTAAAAGATCACTTATAAATCATTAAAAGTATCTGTACGCTTTTCATGTAGCTTTTCTTTAATATCAACTACTTTTAATCTGAGACATTGTTCGCTATGTCTAGTTCATGTTATAAGTTATATAACATTGGACTTTCTTTAAATTTCAGGGCGACAGAGAGTTTGGTACAGGTGCAATAGCTTAGGAAAAAGACAACCACAGGAATGGTTGCAATTCAAACCATTCATCTCAAAACTGTTGCTTCTCGAGTTGAAATTCAAGCAGAAGCTATGCAAAATGATAAAACCCACATAATTCTATCGTACGATGATTTGCTAGATACGTGTTTTAATCAACTTTAAATTTCTATTGAGAATAAATTTTTAAGATCTGTCATACAATGTGTCTGATGACTTGACCAAAAACTCCTCAAGTAAAAAAGAAAGAAGAAAAAAGAGGAGAAAGTTTCACCATCATTCAGATCACGTCAACCAATATTTTAAAACTTGCACGACTGGAACTTAGTGGTGTAAAAGGCTAAATTATTAGCTTGATTCTGCTCATATATTGAATTTATCGATACTTTAGTTGGCAAAGTACCCTCGTATCAGTCATAGTTTATTAGGTAAAAGCTGTGACGGATTACAGAATCGACACATGCACCTTTCAAATGACAATTGCTACGTGAGACGGCACACAAGATAAAGGAATTAGTCTATCTTTTCCTCTCTAGTTTTCTTCTTTCAATATAAATATTTTAATTTGCACATATATTATCAATCTATATATCTATCTATATACTATATTAAAATCACGAAATGCCGTTCGTCTTAGTGAAATGTCGTTCGCTTTTTTTACCCTTTAAAAATAAATATTACATTGGACAAAATTGTAATATAAATTTACTTTCCTAATATTTAGGATTTTGAAATCAATTAAGATTTTAGTTATTAAATATCTCTTTATTCAACAAGGTAGGAAGTCCTAATATTTAGTTTTGAGATTTTTACATTCCTATAATCTATTTGAAACTTTATTACCCTCCCTACTCAAGTTTCAATTTAATTACATCATATATACAAATTTACCAATTATATACACTTTAGGAATTAAATGAGTATCCCTTTATATTAGGAATCAATTATTTTTCATNCTCTCTCTCTCTATGTCTCTCTCTATCTCCCAATCCCTAATTTCAGTGTCACGACCCAAAATCCACTAGTCGTGATGGCACCTAACCCAACCCACTAGGTAAGCCAATTAACCACTAACCAATTTCAATAATAATTAATAAAGTAATTAAGTAAAAAAATATATGAATCTGATACGTTTCCCAAGAACTGGTAGTACATATCATGAGCTCCAAAAATAAAGTTTACAAAGCTGAAATGAAATAAATACATTGTCTGTTCAAAAAGTATATAAACATAGTTTTATAGATCGAAGGCTACCACGAACAAGAGGCAGTTACAACCGGGACGCAGGTAGATCTTCAAATCCAGCTCCCATCGAACACAGCAACATCAGCAGCCAACATCTGCACGCAAGGTGCCATGTACTCAATAAGTAACAAACCTAACTTTAGGTTGAAAGTAGTGACGAGCTAACAGAAAGGTCGGGTCCAACACCAATATTCCACAACAGTTCATAACAGCATAGTACACATAACCAAAAGAGTATCTCAGAAATAAAAGGCTCAGTCCATTCACAATTCCAGAAAAATAGGCATTTCTTTTCAAGTATCTCAGTGAAAATCCAAATCTTTTACCGAAAAAGCAAAAATACGAGTAAGTTTGAAAACTGTGATTTTTCCCAAAACTCCTTTCAATAAATAGTAAGATGTTTCATTTTCAGATAGCGTGAGGAAAGTACTTCTCTATGCCTACATGTCAAGATACAGATAAAATCACAAATGTCCCCAAAATTAGGTAGCAAAAGGAAATGCACCTTTATGCATGTATCTCAAGTACGCATGTCAAATACAATGCATCTCGATGATGAGCCCATGTACTCACACTCTGAGAGTACTCAATCTCACTGTCTCGCATTCTCTATCACTATGCTGGGCTCACTCAATCACCCAGCGTTGTACCATACCCGTTGTTGCGTGCAGCCCGATCCATATTTATAGTCGACTGCGCTCACCGGGGGTGTGCAGACTCAGGAGGGGATCCTTTAAGCCCAAGAGCTATAATCCGCACGGAAAACTCACATGCCATAATATCAATATCTGGAATCACACGGACAACTTACGTGCCGCACGGACAACTCACGTGCTATAATATCAACATCTGGAATCACATAGATAACTCACGTGTTGCACGGACAACTCACGTGCTACACGGACAACTCACGTACTGCACGGACAACTCACATGCTATAGTAATAGCATCCTCACAAACAGGGCCCCGGCCTCATTTAGTCATCAATCTCTCCAGTCTCACTCACGGGCTTACAATGTCATGAAACTAGTCCAACAATAATGATATGATGTATCAATAAATAACTGAGACTGAGATATGATATGAATGCATGAATATGACTGAGTACAAAATATCAATGAAATCAGTGAGATGACAGTAAGAAACGACCACTATGGGTCTAAACAATATCGGCATAATGACTTAACATGATATCTAGCATGATTGACAGCTTAACTACTTTATCACATGGTGAAAACACGGGTATCAACAAAGTAGGACCACTATACAGTGCCATGGAAATAATAGAGTCCCAATTCACATGGTGCACGCCCACACGCCCGTCACCTAGCATGTGCATCACCTTAATACTAATTACATAACACGTATTTCGGGGTTTCATACCCTCAGCACTAAGATTAGAAGAGTTACTTACCTCGAACAAGCTAATACCAATGCTGAGCAAGCCAAGTGATGCTCCAAAAATGCCATCCCGCGCGTTTCGACTTCCGAACAGCTCGAAACTAACCAAAAATAACTCAAATGCATCAAACAATGCTAAAGGAACCAATCCCGATCGAAAAAGATCAAATCTTGAATCAAAAGCCCAAAATCGTCCAAAATCCCAACCCAGGCCCGCACCTCAGAACCCGACAAAATTTACAAAACCCGAAAGCTCATTCACTCACAAGTCTAACCATACCAAATTTATCAAAATCCGACACCATTTGGTCATCCAAATCCCCAAAATCCACTCTCCAATTCTCAAGCCCTAAACCCTCAAATTTCACTTCAAAAACTCACTAATTAGGTGGGGAAACAAGTTTTATGATCCAAAATGAGTACAAGAAGATTACCTCAATAATCACCTCAAAAATCTTATCCAAAATCGCCTTAAGTCCGAGTCCAAAATGTTGAAATAAGACTAAAATCGCGAACCCTTGCTTATAAACCTTCTGCCCACACTTTTCGCATCTGAGGGCCTATTGTCGCACCTGCGACACCGCATCTGCGGTGAAAATACCGCTTCTGCAGAAGTCACTTGCACCTCCAGGGCCTGCACCTGCGCTACAGGTTCCGCACCTCCGAACACTCATCTGCGTCCCTAGCCTCGCTTCTGCGGAGTTAATCTCTCCTAGCTGCCCCCGCACCTGCGTCCACTTGTCCGCATCTGCGCTACGGCATGTGCGGGAAATCCTTCGCACCTGTGATCCCTGTCCTTTATGGCCTTGCCCGCATATGAGATTCATGCCACACTTCTGCGTGCTCGCACATGCGGTGCCCACTCCGCGAGTGCGGTTACACCAGTA